TTGAGCAATTCACATAATTTAACTAAGTTCCCACTGATTTGCACTCTGTAGTGACCAGAAACCCCTTGTCATGACTTTTCACCCACAGTTACAGATGAAATCAGATATTTACCATACATGCAACACAGAAGATGACTCTGAACAAACAAAATATATTTTTTGCGTACTGTAGAAGACGAAGACTTCTAACCCTGTACTCAGTTCAGGAGGTTCTTTTAGACAGAGATGTGAAGGTGCGTCTAAGACCACATAACCTGCTCACTACTACACCAGTTCTGTCTGTAGGATGAGCCAAAATTGTAGAAGGTTACACCCAGAAATTCATGCATATGAAAGGCTCCTACTAATTCTACCCAATACTTAGGAAATGCGTGAACATTTCCAAATCCAAAAAAAGTAATGCAAAATTACTTTTTTCTTCTATTCTCTTATATTTTCTTCTTATTCTGGCATTTAAAAAATAGAATTCAATTTTGCAATCCTAAATGAAACAGAGTCGGAAACATTTAGTTTGGTTTCTTTCAGATAGTGAGCAAAAATAGTTTTATGTGTATTCTTTAGTAAATATCTGTTTTAAATTGTAGCTGCCTCCATCAAACACCTTTAAAAGTTATCTTTTAAATGAGCCTAGCTATGTCTCATCCCATCTCTGGTCTTGACATATTTTAAAAGAAGTTTTATCTGACTGACTTTCCTTTTTGTATTTTTAATATAGAAACGCCCCTGAAATAATCAAGTGATTTACACTTTATTATGTTTGACAGTGAAATGTAGGCCTGCTTCCCATTATTTTACAAGAATCCACCAAGGATGGCTGTTTACATACTCCGCTCTTTCTAGGTTTAAGAGCGTGGCAAAGAAAAAAAAAATATTACACTCGTCTTGGCTGTGTGACTTCCCCGTTTCTATGGAAGTCTGCTTTTGTTTAGCTGGTCACACACTTGTGACGTCTCCTCTCTGAAGGCTGCAACTCCTGAGCAGCTTAACGCTGACTCGAACGAAGAAAAGGAAACCATGAAGGAGATCTAAACCAAGTCTAATGAACCTGACAGATTTGGCTCGGATAAACCAGTTGTTTCCAAATTGCAACCCTCAGGTGATCTGCTCCTCTTGGCTTACCTTAGTGTGGCTCCCAAAGTTCAAGAACTGTAGGGCTTTCCAGCAGATGGAGCTGATGTATACAGACACTGTTATTATATATTAGTGGGGTCACAACGGTAACTCATTCCAGAAAGGTTTTTGGCACACGCCTTCATAAACTTGGGGTGATAAAGAAAAAAAAAAGAAATAAAATATAGAAATATTTCTCAAAACCACCAAAATATAAAGCTACTTCTAATTTTTGTGAACTTATTGCAAATATTTTCCTGAGTTTTCTCCTAGTTAAACCATACTATTAATCCATATTGCTGATTATCCTAGGAATAATAAACATTTTCTTGCTACATCTTCATGACTTCATTGGGGTATTAGTTTCTAAAACTGTTGTAAAGAAAGTCAGAAAGGTTTTCAGAGCTCCACAGCCATAGAATATATAGAACATTGTGGCATTAATGTATAATACATGTCAGTATTATTGTATCTTACTTTATATTTGCTTAAATGATGCACATATTTTAAAGTTTGAGGAGAACTATTGTTGTCAAGGTGGGGTTGAGGTTTTTGAGGACCCAAAGGCTGAGATCAGGATGAGATCAGGAGGCACAGTTGAGTCTTGCAGATTTAATTTGCCACAGAGGCAGAAATCCAAAAATATAAAAATACTGAGAACCAAAATACAGATAAAAACCAAAATGTCAGGGAGAACTCACGTGGGGAACCAGAGATGAGGAAGCAAGAAAACACAACAAACCAGCACTGAGTGACTGCAGAGGTGAGGTATATATTGGGAGACTGAACTAAGACAAGCTAATCAGCAGATATGGTGCAGGTGTGAGTAGACTAACAAGAAGGGACCGAGGGAGAAGAAAACGAACACAAGAGGGCAACAGAGAGCAACACAAGAACTAAAGAACTTGGCACTGGTAGAACTACAAAAACACAGAACACAAAGAAAGTAAAAATAAACCCAGGCAAAGGTAGAACCCTGACAATTGTATGTAGTTTTTGCCATCACCATATTATCTTTATTTATATGGACCATCTCTTTTAAATAGCCCAATTTATCATAAATAACTAATGTAACTTCCTCTCTGGACAACTATGTCCGGGTTGTTATGTAACACTGTTTTGGGCATGAGAATTCATTAATAAGGTTCGATGGTTGTTTAGAATTCCTTTTCTACTACTTTAATAAAAAGTATATATATATATATATATATATATATATATATATATATATATATATATATATATATATATATATATATATTTTATACTTATTTTTCACCCCTATACGAAAGATTATGAAAATAAATAAAACCGTCAGATGGAGGAAAATTATACCATTCAGATACATGCCATAAGNATATATATATATATATATATATATATATATATATATATATATATATATATATATATATATATATACATACACAGACAGTTCCCACTTTATACTTATTTTTCACCCCTATACGAAAGATTATGAAAATAAATAAAACCGTCAGATGGAGGAAAATTATACCATTCAGATACATGCTATAAGGCTGCATGCAATGAGGAGGAAAAGGTTGGAACACCCGCATCACTACCGCCCTGATAGAGTGTCAACTTTGAGAAAACATTTAAACATGAAGCCTGACTCAAATTTGCAGCCACTTAAAAAATAGAGGCAAATTACTGCATATCCGGAGAAAACAGGCTTTGTGTCCTAATATTTTTCCACATTTTATCATTAAATCAGATTATGTAATTGCTTTTTTTACTCTGCATGTTTTAGAAATAAAAGACTCAATCATTGCTTAAAATGTATTCAGGTCTAATGAGCCTCTCACTTATCAGGAAAATCATTAGTTTACATGCTTATTGTTTATCCACTTACATTAACAAGACTTCCAAGACTCCTGCTTCAATTTTCACATGAAAGTGTGAAAAAGTCCACAGCAGTCGCTTCTCCAGGATTTAGGCAGGAAACCACCTGCTGCTAATCAAATGCACTTAATTAATGGATCATCACCATACCTTCATTAGTTATTATTATTGTTGCTCTGGAGTGTAAATGTGTGGCTAATCACAATGCAGGTTTGTTTTCTCCTAAATGTATCCAACGCCAAGGAGATGAATGGATGCTGGGTGTTTGCCAGTTCCTCATGGTTTTAATCTGCTAGGAGTTCAATACTCCCCAGAGTCTGAACTCTTTTGTTTTGTTTTTTTTATTACAAAAGAAAGTACATGAACATTATAGAACATTAATAATCACAAAAATATACAAACAACAAAGGGTTTTACAGAACAGAACCATTATTTTCTTTTGTCACTCAATTTTTTTTGCTTTTGCATAAGAGAAAAGGAACAAGGGTGTCAGTGATATATATCTTAGGTATGAGCAGTTCGGCAGTGGTGAATAGACTCAGTCTCCCGTGGTGTCTCTGCTATAGGGTCGATATGTTGTCCATTTATCCCATTTGGTATCAAACTCAACTTGTTTTAGTCTCAGCTTAAATGTGAGTCTTTCCATGTTATAGATCTCCTCTATTATGTCCATCCAGTTCCTCAGAGTAGGAGGGTCCTCTCTGTACCATTTCCTAGTGATTCCTTATTTGCCGCAGCTATTAATATTTTTACCAGATATCTATCCTCACATTGAACTTTTTCATTTGACAGGTTACACAAATATAATATTTCACATGACACTGGCAATTTATAACCCAATACCTTTTCCAATACAACCCCTATGTCATTCCAATATTTCTGCACTTTTACACATTCCCAAAAGATGTGAGTATGACCTACGCATTGCTCCCCACACCGTCTCCAGCATGTTGCTTGTGTTAATGTAGATTTATTTTTACTCTTAGGTGTAATAAAGAACCTCACAATATTTTTCCAGCAGAATTCCTTCCACATCCTGGAGCTGGTTGTGGTTCGCTGAACATCGCATATAATCATCCAGTCCTCATCACTTAACGGGATTTTCCCAGAGTCTGAACTCAAAGGAGAACTTAGAGCCCCAAAGCCTACCTGATGCCTGCATTTAGTTTTTGTAACAACCTCTCCCTCGTTTATTTATCTTATTTTGCTGAAATTATAATTTTTCATATTTTACTGTAATGAGCCATATGATTGGTGGAGGTAGGGTCCATACTGTAACCAGTGGGTTGCCAGTTCAAGCCCCCACTCTGTCAGTCTGAGTCGTGCCCTTGGGCAAGACTGATTTGCACTTGCACCCCAACATGAGCCATCCAGCTGCTGGTGGTCAGAGGGGCCCATTGAATGGCAGCCCAGCTTCTGTCAGTCTGCCCCAGGGCAGCTGTAACCACTATTATAGTTTACCACCATCAGCATGTGAATCTTTGTGTGAATAGTTGAATGACTGAAAATGACTCTTTGAAGTCCTTGGATTTGATAAAAACTATACAGGTATTGGTACGTTTGCCATTATACCATTAAGCCCTCAAATAAACTGGGAAAGAAAACCCTTTTGGTGTCCTATTACCAGATTACAGGAATTTTTAACCCATTTTTCAGAAACATTGTTGATCATTTCCTTCAACTTTAATGAATTTTCTCATAATATCTCCACTATCTGCTTCCAGTGACGTCTAGCTATGACTCCATGAAACCAGTCTAGGATTCTAGAGCTTAAGAAGAACAGAATGCAGTTTCTCACTAGTTTCTAACTAATTTCTAAAAATGGAAATTTCTTGAGAGCTGTTCTGAATGAAATTTCCTTTTGTATACACTATGTGTGTACAAAATGACAATAAAGTCTAAGTCTAGGTATTAGTCTAATTTCTGTCTTTAAAGCTTTATTTGATTGTAGAGATCATTTGTGCTTTTTTTAAAATTGTATCAAGACTTGATTAAAGTTGATGAGCAAAATTGTTTATGTCTTTCAGATTGTCCTTCCTACCAAACCGCAGCTACAGCGATAACGGCCGGACAATCCTGGCCAATGAACAGGAGTCACAAGACTCTCTTGGGCCCCTATGAGGATGACTTTACATGAACAGAACTGTGAACCTTCCTTCCGATATGGAGGATATCCGACCCAAGCGCTTCGGCCATCTGTGCTCTCAAAAGTTTACTTTGATGCAAGCTGACTTTCCATAAAGATACGGTTCCATAATGATCATTGGCTGTTTAATACAGGATCAACAGCTCAATGAAAATAAACTATGCTTACAGAATGTGAGATACAAGACGACTGCTGCTACTCTTAAAATATGTTTATAAGCACAATATGAATGCATTATTATGAATTAAATCATATTAATAATGAGATGGAGGTCTGATGTCATTTATCTTTTATTTGATATTTTTACATTATAGCTGCTCAATCTGATTTTTGACCACTAGATGGCAATAAAGCATCACCATTGGAGATGTGCTTGTTAAATAGGGAGGCAGAATCTGATCTTCCAATATTCCAATTGATGATTTGCTTTCAATCATCATCCTAAAATGATGATTAAATTCATTCTTTGATAACATGGATCTCAAATAACCTCCCTTAGGTTTTTTGTGTTCGTTATGCTCTTTTTCATTTATATCAAAAGGTACATAAGGATCTGTTCATTGAATTATGTTGATAACTTCCTATTTACACAGCATTATTAGATTTAGTTTTTCTTCATGCTTAAGGAAAAATGGATTGTTATAAAAGATCTTGATAAGATCTTTTATATAAATATTGAAGTCTCAAAGTTTAGTTTTCAATATTTAGAGCAAAAATTTACCAAAAATGATTAGAGGCCTTGTTGCAAAAGACAAGATAATAGAATTTGTATTCAATTTATTTAAGTCTTTAAAATGTATTAAAGAAAATAACTAAAAATAAACTAGCACTCCATTAGAACAAATTCTGTGTGAAAAAAGGTACAATAATAAGAACTTATTTATTTATTTTTACAAACTATAGATTCCCCTTATAGTTTCTGAACAGGTTATAGTCCCACTGCTATAACACCTGTTACAGCAGTGGGGAAAATATCATTAAACTACTCTGAAATAATACAGTCTGCTGATTCTACGTCAGAGGTAAAGGAATGCTTTACCTTTTCTAAGAAAAATCCCTCCTACACAGTTTGGCTGGATTTCTTCTAATTCTAAACCTTTGTCTGAGTCAATTTAAATCTGTCATGGTGCTTACAAGGGGGAAATATTCTTAACAAAATGAGACATAAAACCAAAAGTTTATCCTTTCATGGGCCTGAAGAAACCTCTATTGTTGTGATTTGTGTGAATTTATTTTTAAAATTAGCTCCACTGGGAATCCTCCCCCCAAAAAGTTTCTTATTTCAATCCACACTGAGGCAAAAGGTCAGCCTGATCTAAAACAGTAAAACAAAAAATGTTTTTTTTTTTTTATCTTATATTTTAGAAATAACAACGTGAGCCACATGCTCCCATCAGAATCACACATGAAGCGGCTACCATGGGATTACACATAGGGGGTTAGTTTTTAAACAGAAATCACTTTTAAATCAATCTCAACTTAAAGTTTTCAATTCCTGGAATCCTCTCTGCTAAAAAAAAAGGTTTTTTTTTTAAAGCAGTTCAAACAAAGTTTCTGAGCCAGATGTTATCCTGTTGTTGGTTGTTAAAAATCCAAATGACAGCAGAACAAAGGGATTTGTATGGCTGAGTGGATTTATGAAGAAACTACATGAACCTGGGCAGGGGGAACAGTAGAAACCAGTAGGGAATAACAGAACTGATTGTCATCGCTCGAATGAACACAGATTGGTCTTATTATCTAAATGGACGGCTGTGAGAAGAACATGATGCTTAGGAAGAAAAAAAAAGGCTAGATAGTGCAAAGCTACCAAAAACAGGGCATAACCTAACATAAATATCCATCCACTTTCAAGCCAGGATGGTGATAGGACACTTTCAGAAACAGAACAAGAGGAAACTATTAAAATGCAGAGCTCATAGAAAGTTAAAAAAAAAAAAAAAAACCTAAGAGCAATTCAGGACTAGAGCAAAGAGTAGAAAAAATAATATTAAGGGCTATTACATGAGGCATTTTAAAACGAAGCAATAAACTAAACATGGAAAGGAAAGAGTAACAAATATTACACTATAACAAAACATAAAAGCAGGGTTCAGAGGAGGAGAGACATCCGGGAATTATTAAAATTATTTCTTGAAACCAACGGCCTCTTCGCTGCAGACCTGAAGGGTTACTGCAAAAATACAGAGAAAACAATTTTTTTAGACCTTATTTTTCAAAGTATTCATTTTAAATATATGTAAATGGAAAGAACATTTTCTGGGATAAATAAAAAGCACGTTAAGCACATTCTTAGTCATGTACTCTTCCTGCCACCAGATATCGCTGCAGCACCAGAAGATGGGATAGTCTGCTGCCTCTATAAAGCAGCTCAGAGATCAGCCTTCAACTGGATCTGTGGATCACTTACTGCAGCAGCACTAAAGTTTATATGAGTTTTTATAAACCAAAACAAAAGTAAAATACTGTCATTTAAAGAGTCTGTATTTAATTTAGGATAATCTAGCTGATTCTAGAATGCTGATAGACTTTGCATGTATGTAGTAGCTATTCTAAACTGGCAAACATAGCAAACAATGGATGAATGAAAGAAAAAGATGAATGGCTTTACCGCTCTACTCAAGCAGTGGTAAAATTAAGCATTGTGATACATATACCATACACACAATTGTTTAACAATGGGTCCAATAAATGAAGAACAAATTAGGAATATAAATTTTACATTTATTGTCCAAAAGTTGTCATTATGTGTTTTTCAGTCTAGAAAAGTACTAAATTAGGTGGAAATCTGTTAAATGATGTTTGTAAAATAGTGCATTTAAGTTTCAGGACACAAGTTTTAAAGAGTACGAAACTTCCCAGCAAAAATTAAACCTTAAAAGAACATTTCAGGATTTGGCTTTATCAGCACCTTGAGAGAAGCTTGTAACTTTTTAACTAAACTATGATTGCTATGTGTACTCTGAAGGGAAATGTGTTTTTGTAATGAATAATGGATCGACTTTGAGTTAACTTTGCTCATTCAGCACAAGTTTAGAGCGCCGAGCAAGAAAAGACAAAAATTAAACCTTCTTAATCAACAGGGAGTTTCTGTGGACATCTAACCTTAAAAAAATAATTAAACCAAGTCTTATCATATGATCGGAGACATGACCTGCCTGATGTTTTGTTGCTCCTAATCTCCCTTCAAACATTCACATTCCTAACATGTTAGAGGTAATTCACAACTAAAAAAGTTAATGAGTAGGATGAGACTCAAAAGAGAGTCCTCAGTGTCTTCCTTTGAACAAATTCAGTGATAAAGAGTTTCTAAAAAGGAATTTAAATAAGTAGTTCAGAGTTTGGTCTATTCATTTAAAAAGCATTTGTTTAAAAAAAATAGCATTCCTTCAATAAATAATATCAGCAGGTAAGATGAAATTATTACATGCCAGAAAAATGCAAACTAAACATGAACAAAAATCCTATCATTCTGTAAAAAAAAAAAAAACAACTACGTCTAAACTCTCTTATTAGAAATAAGCAAATTAATGAATTTTATGAAAGAATGGATGTTTTAAAACTTCCACATGAAAATGTGGAATTTTCTTTATCAGGATACCAAAATCACTGCTAAGTATATAAAATAGCTGCTTTCATTCTCACACAATTCTCTTGCATTTTTTGTCTCTACATCTGAGTCTGCTCTATTAGCACCATGCAGGCTCACTTTAGCTGTTATTTGTCCAATTTCTCGATTATAATGTAACCAAACCCCTCTGGTAAAAAAAAGCAGAATTCTTGGCCCAGACATTTAAAGCATATCATCAACATCCTTGAAAAAAGGCAGCCAAGTTCCACTTTTGCTTTTTTTTCTCTACACAGAATATTATCTACAATATTCTGTTCTATGGCAGATATGAGATTGGTTTTTATGTTGTTTGTTTGTATGTTTGTTTTCTTCAGTCAGCTGTAATATTTGCCTTGCAGATCTATGAATCATGCATTTTTGCTCAGTTTCTTGTTTATAAGTTATTATTTTCTATTTCTTAATGTTTTTGCCTAAACCAGGGCAACCAATATCTGCAGTACTGTGGATCCTGTAGATCAGGGGTCTGCAACTTTTCATATGCAAAGAGTCGTTTTGTCTCAAGTCCAACCAGGTAAAAGTTGTTTAGAACCACAAAGTAAAGGACTTTATCAAAAAACAACCTGTTTGTTTATTTTTTTTAAATTATCTCATATAGGAAATTAGTTGCCATCTTAAACATCAAACAATTTATGGATTTTTAGCTTTTGAAATAATACTAAAACACAAATTCTAAGTTAATTAAAAGAAAAGTGGCTCTAAAAACATACGTATTTATGGTTCTTTTAGTGTCATTCTTATCATCTCATAAAAACCACAAAAGCTTTAATTCTGGTATTTATTTTATAGTACAAATTTTTTAGCTCTTTATATGCACTTCAATCTGAAAAACTCACATCAAGAGAAATGACAATTAGAAGAAATGTATTGATGCAATTACTTGGTCTTTGGCGCTCAGACCTCGGCAGGCAACATAGCGCTGAATTGTGATAGATATGCATCAACAGGAATAAAGAATAGGGCTGTTTCCCCCCAGGCCTGAAATTGGTGTTGGAGTGGAGATAGATGAAGTTGGTCAGTCTGTAGACTGCTAGAGAGACGGTATGCTGAGCTTTATGGGGAGATCCAGTGGACTGCGGGAGCTGATACTAGAGCTTCACTCAGGGACCTGAAAGATGGAAGTCCAGTTTGGATAACACAGGTTGAGAGAACCTGTCCATGATGAGCAAGCAAGAAGCGACAGTGGAGAGGAAAAACTCCCCATTCGGAAGACGCCTCTGGGAGAACCAGGCTGAACATGGCGGTCTTCTATTGGACCGGTTGAAAAGAGATGCAGGATGCAGCAAGAGTCATGGAGTAATGAACTCTGATGGACTTCTAGCTACGATGGTGGAGGAGGGGCTGGAGGTGGGTTGAATGAAGTCACACAGGGCATCCACCGCCTGCGCACCAGGCAGACAAGTTGCCACGAAAGCCAATCGCAGGCCGATTGGCTTTCGTGGCGGTGTGGTTCAAAGCCTATTGGCTATGTCGTAGGTGGATGTAGGAGATCAATCAGCTTCAGCTTCAGTTGAACTTACGCCTAGGCTCCATTTTAGCCACTATAAAGAGCCGCTGTAGAGGGTCCAAAGAGCCACATGTAACTCTGGAGCCACAGG